CTCAGGCAATCCACTCACCTCAGCCTCCCAAAGGCGCGGGATTACAGGCTGAGACACCGGAGCCCGGCTAATTTTGGATTTATTGTAGAGACGAGGTCTCACCAAGTTGCCTGGGCAGGTCTCGAACCCATGGGCTCGGGCAATCCACTCGCCTAGGCCTCCCAAAGTGCTGGGATTATAGGCTGAGTCACCGAGCCTGGCCTTCAGTTGTATTTCTACTCACAATTAATAAATGCATTCTTCCATCTTCAAAATCATGATACAACAGCCTGTAACTTCCAGCATGCCCATCTCTTTTTTAGAAAATAAAGGCACCATTAATAAAACAAGGCTGGGCATGGTGGCTCAAGCCTGTGAGAGGATTGCCTGAGTCCAGAGGTTTGTGAACAGGAAACTCGGTGAGACCTCGTTTCTATGATAAATCAAAAAATTAGCCAGGCATGGTAGTGAGCACCTGTAGTTCTGGCTACTTGGAAGGCTGAGGTGGAAGGATCACCTGAACCCAGCAGGTCGACGCTGGGGTAGCGGTGAGCATTCCACTCTACTCCAGCCTGGGCGACGAAGTGAGACTCCAACTCTAAATCAATCAATCAATCAATCAATCACATAAGACAACAGATGCTGGCGAGGATACAAAGGAACGCTTTTACACTGTTGGTGGGAATGTAAACTAGTGCAACCTCTTTGGAAAACAGTGTGGTAATTTCTAAAAGAACTAGTAATTGACCTTCCATATGACCTAGCAATCCCCCTACTGGGAAAAACCCAGAGAAACTCAAATTATTCTACAAAAAAAGATAGCTGAACACACGTTTATTGCAGCACTATTCACATTAGCAAAAACATGAAACCAACCATACTGCCCATCAAAACCTGACTGTATTAAAAAAATGTGGTTTATATACACAATGGAATATTACGCAGCCATAAAGGACAAACATATGAACTTCACAGGAACTTGGATGTATTTAGAGTCTATCATATTCACTGATCTATCACAGAAACAAAAAACACAGTACCACATGTTCTGACTCATAAGCGGACCCTGAACATTTACCATAATACTGTAAGAAAGGGATTGGCAACAGCAGGATACTGCTGGGGTGAGGGGAGGGAGGGCGGACACACACATCAATAAGGATACCTGATCTCAAACCAGGCAAAGTGGGGACCAAAGAGGGGCCCAAACTTTACCTGGACAATGACCACTTGTATACCTAATCCTGAACTGTACCCCACATCTTTAAAATAAAATTTAAAAAATAAGTAAATAAAGGCACCGTAGTCTCAAGATTGAAAATAATTTATCAGCCGAACTCGGTGGCTCAGCCTGTAATCCCGCACCCTTGGGAGGCTGAGGTGAGTGGACTGCCTGAGCCCACGGGTTCGAGACCCGCTTGGGCAGCGAGACCTCATCTCTACAATAAATCAAATAAATCAGCCGGGCGTGGTAGCGTATGCCTGTAATTCCGGCTAGTTGGAAGGCTGAGGCGGAAGGATCGCCGGAGCCCCGCAGGTCGAGACTGCAGTGGCTGGAAGTGGCCACTGCACTCCAGTCTGGGCGACAGAGTGAGACTCCAACTCAAAAAAAAAAGAAAAGAATTTATCTTTGTTCTTTAGTTTTTTTCAATTGCTGACCCTCTCAAAAAACAAAATTAAACGTTCTCCCGTGTTAAAATTTAATAATTTGGAGTTTAACAGACATTTAACAAAACAAGTCGTGAGAGATGCCAAAATAAATGAAAGCTAGAGGTTCCATATGAAATCTCATTATAACATCCCAAATCACTGCAAAGACTAGGACATGTTTTGAAAACATCACTCCTAACCAAATATCACAAAAGTCCAAATGGCAAATGACAGCACTTTGCAGACTATGTGGTATAATTCCCAGTAATACACTAAATTATGCAATTATACACAGAAAGAGTAAGACAGATCTCTTGTCAAATTTATTTGATTTTTACCTGGGAAAGACAACTTAAGAATTTCCATGTTTATCAAAATAAACCTAAAGGAAAATTCAGTTTGCTAAAAACTCTATTTTTCCTCCATTTCCTCTTTTAAAGAAAGGCCAAGGTCCCTTGCCCATTTTTCAAATGAGTTTTTGGTTTGCTTGCTATTGAGTTGTTGGAGCTCCTTATATATTTTGGGTATTAATCCTTTATCAGATATATGACTTGCAAATATTTTCTTCCAATTCCTAGGAGTTAAAAAATGGGCAAGGGACCCTGATAGACATTTCTCAAAAGAAGACATATAAATGGCAACAGATGTATTTAAAAATGCTCTACGTTGTTAATCATTAGGGAAATGCAGATTACAACTACAATGAGATATTGTCCCATACCTGTCAGAAGGACTTTTCTCAAAAAGAAAGTGTTGGCAAGGACATGGGTAAAATGATACCCTAGTGCACTGTTGGTGGGAATGTAAATTAGTACAGCCACGATGGAAAACAGTATAGAAATTCCTCAAAACATTAAAAATAGAATTACCAGCTGGGCTCGGTGGCTCAGCCTGTAATCCAGTGCTTTGGGAGGCTGAGGTGAGTGGATTGCCTGAACCCGCGGGTTCGAGACCCGCCTGGGCAACTTGGCGAGACCTCATCTCTACCATAAATCAAAAAATTAGCCGGGTTTGGTAGCGCAAGCCTGTAGTTCCAGCTACTCGGAAGGCTGAGGTGGAAGGATCGCCGGAGTCCAGCAGGTCAAGGCTGTGGTGGCCGGGAGCAGCCACTGCACTCCAGTCTGGGTGACAGAGTGAGACTCCAACTCAAAAAAAAAAAAAAAAAATAGAATTACCACATGATCCAACAATCTCACTTCTGGATATTTACTCAAAAGGATTGAAATCAGTTTGTTGAAATGTCTGTGGCCCACATTCACTGTAGCACTATTCACAATAGCCAAGTTATGGAATTGACCTAAGAGTCCATCAACAGATGAATGAATAAAGAAAATATGTTCGATATACACAAAGGGAATATTATAGAGTCCTATAAAAGATTGAAGTTCTGTTACTTCCAACAACATGGACAGAACTGAACATTATGCTAAGTGCAAGAAGTCAGGCACTGGGAGACAAATACTCCATGTTCTCACTTATATGCAGAATCGAAAACAATCAAACTCATAGAAGTGGAGAGCAGAATGGTGGTTACTGAGGTTGGGGGTGGCACGAATGGGGAGGAGATGGTCAAAGTGTACAAAATCTCAGTTACACAAGAGGAATATATTTTTTCTTTTTTTGACTTCTACTGCACAGGGCTGCAAATCTAGTTAACAATACAGTATTGTGCATTTCAGAATTGCAAAGTTTTGAAATTATAAAAATGTAATAAAGGCTAAGGTCGAAGCCAGTGAGATTCTAAGATTAGCCATAATGTTCCAGAGCAATTACATGGCATCCTGCGTGAATGGCTTCAAAAGTTGTTGTTGTTGTTTTGAGTCTTGGTCTCATTCTATTGCCCAGGATGGACTGCAGTGGCACAATCATGGATCACTGCAACCTCTACCTCCCGGCCTCAGGTGATCCTCTCGCCTCAGCCTCCAGAGTAGCTGGGACTACAAACGTAGGCTACCACACCTGGCTAATTTATTTTTTTTTGTAGAGTCGAGGTCTTGCTATCTTGCCCAGGCTGGTCTCAAACTCCCGGGTTCAAGCAATCCTCCCACCTCGCCCTCTCAAAGTTCTGGGATGAAGGCATGAGCCACTGCGCCCAGCCCAAAGGCTCTTCAATACTGGGCAAGGGAAACAAACAACATGTTTGTGAAGTGGACTAGATGTCATTAAAAACACTGTGGAGATGACTAAACGCCTTGCCATTTACCCTTTGGCTACGCTCAAAGCTGCAGAGACCATACTGAAGCTGTGTTCCTGCAAACTAAACACAGGCACTGAAACAACTCACAGACGACAAATGCAATTTCCTGATTGTTGATACCAGACAGGAATGACAATCAGCAACCTTTTCACTGCCCTTAAAATAAGTTAAGCACTGCTTTATATCACAGGTGGCTTAATAAAACAAGACACACTCATCAAGTAAAAACAATTCTTTAGAACCCAGAAGTCTACAAGCTAGACTACATAGCATATGCTTCCCCCATCCTTTTTAGAAAAGCATTTAACCCTTAACCCGCTGCCTCTGCCAATACTTCTAGGCACCTACTGCCCAGCTATCTAGCCTGGGTGCTCGTTCACCAACCGGTCCTAGTTTTTCATTGCCCAGATAATTCTGAATCGCCCAAATCTTCCTGATCTTTCTAGGCTGGTCTCCAAGCTCACTTCCCCGGTAGAGCTTTTCTGACCCTCACCATGACAAACTCCTTAACACCTACAGCAATTCACTACTGCCACTTTTTCTAGCCTATTGCTCTCTCAGAGTGAGTGCTTGCAGGCAAAAACTGTATCTGCACTTTGTTCTCTCTCCCCTCCAGCTGCAGCTAGAGCCCAAGGAGAGGAGGTGCACTCAATCAGCAGGTGGTGATCTCCATATCCAGCCGCCAGCGCCAGGCTGTTTCAGTCCACCTCAGTAAGGCCACAGAAATTCTTCCAGGACCTTTACTGCCAAGTCAGCACACCACCACCACCTTCTCCTGGACAGCAAATTCACTCGGAGTCCTCAGGCGTGCATCGGGTGCCCAACAGGTTTCTTTCCTTTCAGAATCCTTAGATGAAACGAGGCCCTCTTACCGGTTAAGGCACCGATGGAGCATTCTTCCACAGACGGGGTACAGACGCTCAGGCGCCAAGCTAACCAGAGGGGCAAACCAACGTCTCAGACATTCGCCCCCAGCCTTGGAGTCCTCCTTCCCGCTGCCTCCCGAGGCGGCTCACCTTGGAGGCAGGAAAGCAGCCGCTCAGGGAGAGTCACCACCTTTCCAAAGCAGGCTCCAAAGAAGCTGCCCATTCATCACCCAGTCAGGGCTGTCAGCGGCTAGCTGAGAGCGAAACTCAGACGCCAAACGCTTCCACAAAAGCCCCCTCACCAGCTGGCCAACAATTACGGCGTTCAGACACTCCACAGCAACTCCGCGGGCCTGGCTGGATTCTTGATGGTGTCCGTCAGGAGGACTGAGACTACAAGCCTCCAGGTTAACTTGCCACCTCTCTTTGTGTTACTAAAACGTGGATCAAGACTTAGGACCCATCCCATTCTGGAGAGGTGACCGAGCTTGCCACACCGATGACCGCTATGCCGTTCTCAGTTTCCGGACCTCCGGGCGTCTCTCCCACCCACCTCCTTTCTGAGCTGTGTCTCGTTCGCAAACGGAGGGAAAAAAGCAAACACCACCCAAAGCCAAAAATGGCAAACGACCAAAAGGCTCCCCGTGCCAGATCGAATCATCCAGGCCTCAGCTCCCTACGTGGGAAGTCCCGCCGTCGCGAGGGCGGGCGGGCAAAGCCCCGGGGAGGCGACCGGGCCGAGGTGGGC